TAGAGCAGGCTGGCCTTGAACTCACAGAGATCCCCCTGCCTCTCCCTCTGCTGGGATCAAAGGCATGTGCCACCATCACCCTGCTCCCAACTCTTTGTTTTCCTTTTTTTTTCCTTTCTCGAGTTAGGGTCCTTACTATGCCTGCTTAGGGAGTTTGAGGCCATCTTGGCTACATAAGGCTTTGTCTCAAACAAGTAGAAAAAATTACCATGAACAATTGTAGTTGTTTGAAAGAGAATGTCTCCCATAGGCTCAGGGTTTGAACACATGGTCCCCAGCTGGTGGCTCTGTTTGGGGAGGTCATGGGGACATGAGGCTTTGCTGGAGGACAGATGTCCCTGGGGGTGGGCTTTGAAAGTTTGAGGCCTCACCCCATCTCTAGTTCACCCTCTTGCTTCTAGCTTGGGGTTGGGACATGATCTCTCAGCTTCCTGCTTCAGCTGCCATGCCTGCCTGCTGCTAAGATTTTTTTTTTTTTTACCATGATGGACTCTCATCCCATGGGAAACATAAGTCCAAATAAACTCTTCTTTTTGTAAGTTGTTTTTGGTCATGGGCTTTATTTTATTTTACTTTATTTTATTTTTTGGTTTTTCGAGACAGGGTTTCTTTGTGTAGCTTTACGCCTTTCCTGGAGCTCACTTGGTAGTCCGGGCTGGCATCGAACTCACAGAGATCCACCTGCCTTTGCCTCCCTAGTGCTGGGATTAAAGGTGTGCGCCACCACCGCCCGGCTGGTCATGGGCTTTATTACAGCAACAAAAACATAACCAATCAACATTGATAGGCCTCTATATACATATATGAAAAGTTTATTATTTTATTATGTGTATGAGTGTTTTGCTTGTGCAAAACAGCTGTGCAACTGTGTCTTTCCTGGTGCCTGTGAAGGGTCCCTGGAACTGGAGTTATAGACAGCTGTGATCAGTCATGTAGGTGCTGGAAATCAAACCTGGGTCCTCTGGAGGAGTAGCCTGTTCTCTTAGACAATTGAGCCATCTCCCCAGCCCATATATATTAATATCAATATACCATACAAATTAATAATACACAATATACTATACAATATTAAGTATATCATATATCATATAATAGCAAATACATTATTACTGGGGTCCAGCCTCGGCTCAAGTTCAGGTCCTGAGATGGGGAAGGGGTATTGGTGCGAAGAAATGAACTGTCTGACCACCAGATGAGTTTCACACAAGTGGCCAGCCCCAAGTAGTTCCAGTCGTCTTTATCTATATATCAAAACCAAGCATTTTTTCCACACTAATAAGTTTTTCCCATCCCCCAATGTTAACCTCTGGCAAAAAACAAGTATGTCAAATATGTTTTTTTTTTCCTACTTTTACATCAAAACATCTTTAAACAAAAACACAACACTTATCATTTTGCTGGCTTGGCCAAATATTGAGCCAGGTACATCCTGTCTTTACAAAACTAAAAGGTGATAAACACAGGCACACATTTTCAAGAACAACAATCTCGTTCAAAACTTATTTACAGAAATAGGGGTGATCTGCCTCCTGTCCGCACTGAATCAGAACAGCTCCCGGGGTCAGATCCCTGGAGCTGCAGCTAATAGATTGCTGTGAGCTGTCCAACGCGGACGCTGGGATGCAAATTCATGTCCTCAGGAAGAGCTTCAAATAGCCTTCACTGCTGAACCATCTTTCTACCCCTTTCACGTGTTTTTTTTAGTAAGCAAAGTAATAAGTTTCGGCATGACATTTTCATACATACCTTGCTTTGGTTGACTGTCCTCCCCCATTCATTTCTGCAGTTCCCACCTCTTCAAAATGTACCCTCGTACCCACTTCCAGCTTACCGCCTCTACTTCTACCTCTTAAAACAATTTTTTTTTTTTTGTATAGGTATGGGTATTTTTCCTGCATGTATTTCTGGGCATTGTATGCATGTCTGGTGCCCATGGAGGCTAAAAGAGGGTGTCAGGTATCTTTGGAGCTCAAGTTACAGACTGTTGTGGGCCACCATGTATGTGTTAGGAATTAAACCAGGGCTCTTAACCAGTGAGCCATCTCTCCAGCCCAAATCCTATTTCCTTAAAACCTCTCCTCCCACCCCATTCATGCTCCCCTTTCTAGGTTCATGACTTACACACACACACACACACACACACACACACAAAGCTAGGATCCACATATAAAACAGTAGTTTTGTCTTTTTTCTGAAATCTGTATCAATGGCTGGCTTTGAACTCACAGAGATCCACCTATATTTGCTGCCTGAGTGCTAGATTAAAGGTGAATGCCTCTATGCCTGACCTAGTTTTATTTTGAACTATTCCAAAAATAGAAAATACACAAGTTGCTAAATTGTCTCTAAAAAAGTAAGCTATTTGGGCCAGCAAGCTGGCTCAGTGGGTGAAAGAGATGATTTCCATTGCTGACTTCCATTCCTGAAACCATGAGAAGAGAACCGACTCCTGAAAGTTCTCCTCTGACCTCCATACATGACCATGTACATGCCTGCTCTTCCTGTCACACACATGCCCATGCACATGCACACACCACCACCACTAAAACTCAGAAAAAAATATTAGGACCTCATGTTATCTAAAATTTCATGAAACCTAAATATTCTTTACAAATACAGACTTCCTCCTACAAACTGATCATTGTATACAGAAAAGATGGAAAAGAACAGCAAAGGAGTTACCAATTCAACATATCTGTAAACTAAATTTGCTAACACAGAGATACTATTTTATTATTTATTTATAGACAGGGATTCACTATGTAGCTGAGGCTGGCCTCCAAGAGCTCTGATTTAATACAGTTCAAGTACACAGCTTCCCTTGAGACACTTCCTCAGAATTCAAAAGAGTAGTCTTGAGTGACTTTTCTTCTCAGTGTCCTATATTTCACTTATTTATTCATTCAAGAATGAGGCATTTATTGTGCTCTGAGATGCTGGTGATACAAATTAGTACAACCAGTTTATATGTGTAGAAATACAATCCAGTAGTTCAGGCTGGTTTTGAACTCATTATACACCCCAGACTGGCCTCCAACTCTTGATCCTCCTGCTTCAGTCTCTGGAGTGTGTTGGGATTGCAGGAATGTCTATGAATAACTTTTTAGATTCATATTTTTATTATTTAGTTGTGTTTATGTGCATGTGAGTGTGAGTGCCTGCAGAGAGCAGAAGAGGGCACCACATCTGCTGGAGTTGGAGTTAAAGGCAATTTGAGCCATATCAAGAAGGTGCGAGCAACTGAATTCTGGTCCTCAGAGCAGCAAGTGCCCTTATGGGTGAGGCCTCTTCAGCTTCCAAAAAACTTACAACAACAACAACAACAACAACAACAAAATCGCAGCAGTGGAGACTGAACTTAGAGACTTGAGTGTACTAGGCAAGTATTCAGCCACCAAACTGTCTTCTCAGCCCTAGTGAATAATTATTGAAAAAAAATGCCAGTAAATTAGTGTTCACAGTAACTCCCCAAAGGCCAACCACTGAAAACTCAGTGATACCCAGAAAAGCCTTGAGGCACAATTTTAGAATGCATGTTAGCAATATTACTTTGTAAAGTAGGAAAGGCTGGTTTATTTGGTAAATTCCAAGAAACAGAAAACTTAACACTTGAGGTAGAGGATGAAGCTCTGTTGGCAAACTTCTTGAATAACATACACTAATACCCATGTACCCTATTAATCCCAACATGGGCATGCCTGTTATCCCAATACTTCAGAGGAGGAGGCGGGAGACTCCGTTCAGAGTTAACACAGCCTAGGGAGTTAGAGGCCTGCATGGGCTACATAAGATCCTGCCTGGGCTACAAAATACCCTGACTCAATGGGGAACACACACACACACACACACACACACACACACACACACACACACACACACACACACCCCCTCCACGCGCTCCAAACCCCAAACAAGCCACATTAGATGGAGGGGAAAGGAAACAAAGAAAATTCAAAAGACTCAGAATTTACAGAAAGCCCATTTTTATTTTATTTTGGTGACAGGGTTTCATGAATCCCAGGCTGGCTTCGAATTTACTATGTAGCGGAGGCTGGCCTTGAACCTCTCGTCTCTATCTCCCAAGCACTGAGACAGGCGGGCACCATCTCACGGGGCTGGAGATGGATTCCAGGGCTGCGTGCATGCTAGGCAGGGGCTTTACAAACTGAGCCCTGGGTGGTGGTGGGGGGTTGTGCCTTTATTCTACAAACACGACAGAGTCAGCGACTGCGGCGTCAGCGCGGTGTCCAGAGGCACACAAAGGCAGGTCCACAAAAAGGTGTCTGCAGACGGCAGTGACTGAAGGGGCCGGACGGATCATTTTTCCTGGGTTGGCAGATTATGCAACACGGCTAAGGGCACCGCGAGCGTGAGGGAGAGGCCCGACAGAAAGGCTTTTGTCAGCAGCATCTCCATCGGGGCGTCCCCACCCCCATCCTCGCCCCACCGGTCCGCCATCAACTGCGGCGCACCCGGGCCTGGTCCCGCCCCTCACCCCGCCCCCGCGCTGCCCGCCCGTCTTCAGGGCCTCGCTTCTGACCTCGACCTCTCGGCCCCTTTCGTCTCTGCGCCCCTTACGAGCCCACCCGAAGAAGGGTGCAACTGCCCCGACGCGGGAACAAACAGGCTTTTCTCCCCGGCCCGAAGGCATCCAACGTGGCCGAGAACGCCGAGCCGGAAGCGGAAGTGACGTCACGCCACCGGCCCCCCTTTTTTTCTCGGAGCCCTGAGACCTTCTCGGCGTTTGTCCGAGGGCTCTCCACTCCGCACGGTGAGGATTCGGTGAGGGGGTGCGGGGGCCTGCACCGGGAGGGAGAGCACTCGGTAGGCCTCGGCGGGCCGGGCCGAGCTCCGCTGGCGGGGCCGCGCGTCCGCCGGGGTCTGCAGCCTTTCCAGGTGCCGCGGCCCCGAGTGCGCATCGGGACTCAGCCCGGAGCTGTTTGCATCCACCTTTCTTCTAAAGCCCGTGCAAAGTAACCTTTGTGGAATTGTTCTCCCCAGTCCCCCTCCCAGAAAGAATAGACTTTCCGCCATTGGCATCGCATTGAGACGCTGCATCTTCCATTCTCGGACCGGGCGATTCTGTTTGCTGCAGCCGAGCTTTGGCCGAAAGGTGGGTGAGGACAGCCCTTTCCTCGTTTTTTCTTTGTGTGTGGGTGTATGTGTGTGTGTGTGGAAAGGAATGTTTTATCCGAAAATTTAGCTTTTGTGGGACATCTGTTTACCTGAGACACATTGCATTCTGATCTTTAAAAAAATAGCTTTTTTATACCCATATGCAGGATGCGTCTATCTGTATGTAAATCTAAACGTACATAGACCCTACACGGGTCCCTTTGTGTCGAAGAAAAGTAAGGATACCAAGTTACTCTGATTTGATGCTGGGGATGCAACTCGGGACCTCATGATGCTAAGTACGCTCCTGCTGAGCGACACCCCGGCCCAAATAGTTAGCTATTGTCTGAATGTTGTAGGCCTGTGCCTTCTTGCAGACTTTAAAAAATGGAGGCTTTGTTAGGTTAGTACTGATTGGCTTTTTCCAAGGAAAAGTAAAATAACGTTTTATGGTGAACTATTTGAAATAAGTTGAGAGTTTCAGGCATGATACTTTACAGAATGGGTAATACATCTTCTAAAAAATTAAGATATCCACCCAGTAAGACCTTAATGGTAATGTTTCAACCAAGATAACTAAAAACAATAATGTTATCTAATAGCTTCTTTGTGTGAAATCAGAATTCTTCATTGTTATAAAATTGAGTGTTTTTGCATCTAAGATCTCTTCAAAGTTTCTTTGTTTTGTTTTTTCGATAGTGGCAATTGAATCCAGGGCTTTGTGCTTGTTGGGTAAGCTCTCTACCACTAAGCTATAAGCCCAGACCTCTTTAAGACATTTTTGTTGTTTTTTTTTTTTAACATATTTTTAAAAATTTGATATTTATGTATGGGGTGCGGGTTTATGCCTTCTCGAGTGCACTGCTCTGGGACATCGGAAAAGGGCATGGGGTCCTTGGAGCTGGAGCCGCAGGAGGTTGTGAGCCACCTGGTGTGGTGTTGGGAACCAGATCTCAGGTTCTGGAAGAGCAGTACCCACTGTTAACCGACAGGCCGTTTATCACTTTAGTTCCCTCTTTAAGGGTCTTACATGAAAATTTCAAATGTCTTGCAGAATCTTTGAACCTAGAGCAGTCGTGTTGTTTGTTATACTAACTTTTTCAGGAGGCATCCCCCCCCCCCCCCGTTTCTGTGTATATTTTGATGGCTTATTTTTATTGGCATTTTTGTCCATTTAAGAATTTTCCCCATTAAAAAAAAATTTTTCCCCCTGTAGACTAATTGATGCTTTGATGGCTGAGTGAGTGAAGTGGTCGAGTTCTTGCCTAGAATATTTGAGGCCTTGGGTTTCATCCTCAGCTCTGCAAAGGAAGGGAGAGGTAGTGAAAGAAATCCAGCCTAAGCTTGTTCTTAAAACCCAGAATAAATATATTACAAATTGATCAGTTTTGGAAGTTCATATACTCTATTGAGTTACTGAGTTAATACATTCTATTGCTATTATGAGAATACATGAAGGAAATAAAAGTGAGTGAGTGAGTGTGAGAGACAGAGACAGAGAGAGACAGAGAGACGGGAGGGGGTGCTGAACCTACAGCATTGGTCATGGTAAGTGCTCTGTCATTGAGTTACACCCCTAGTCTTTTTACTTAACTTCTTAAGCTACATTTTTTTTGGTCCACATGAGTGCATGTATGTGCTGTGGTGTGTGTGAGGAGGTCAGAGGACAGCCTACTGGAGTCCATCCTTTTCTTCCATCTTGTGGGTCCTGGGAGTAGAACTCAGGGAACTTTAGGTCTTTGGGCTTGGTGGCAAATGCCTTTATACAGTCAGCCATCTCCCTGGGCTTTGTGCTTCTCTCCCTCCTTTTCTTCCTTTTCCTCTTATTCTTCTCCCTCCCAGCATAATGGCTCCATATACTCTTTAATTTGAATATATTCATTCTACAAAATAATGGGTTTCATTATGCCATTTTAATATATTCACATAATGTATTTTGATCATGTTCATTCTCAAGAGAAGTGAGTTCTAAGTTGAGACTAAATGACAGGGTATAGGAATAACCATGTTGAAAGAGAAGGACGTGGGAGGTAGAGAGAGCATGGTAAGCAGTGACTAATTATATTTGTACAGTACAAGAGGAGAGCCTCAAGAGTTAATCCAAGGCTTGACAGTAATTTCACTCATTTTCTTTGGTGGTACACAAACTCTTATCCCAGCAATTGGGTGGTAGAAACAGAGGCAGGAGAATTGCTGCCAGTTTGAGGCCAGTCAAGACTATATAGCAAGACCCTATCTAAATAAACAAGGGGGCTCATGATTATGAATACTGGTTGCTCTTGCAGAGGACCTGGGTTCGGTTTCTAGCACTCACATGGCACCTTACAACCATGTGTAACTCCAGTTCCAGGGGAATCCAGTGCCCTCTTCTGGCCTCCATGGGCACCAGGCATGCAAGTGGTGCACAGACACACAGGCAAAGCACTCACTCATACCTACAAAATAAAATAATCACAACAGCGAGACAAAACAGGATAGAAAATTCATCTATGCTAGTTATTAATCTTAGGAAATGTTTTTGTTCCTGAACAGCCAGAGCCTCTTTGAGTGGTTTTTAGACTGCCTTGGGTTTCCCATATCCAAACTAGGACTCAATTTCCCTGGGGGAATGTTCTAGTTCTTACAGGAGGAACTGGTCCCGTGTGACTGCTTACAGATACTGACACAGTTGGAACCACTCCAGGGCTAAATGACCAGAAGGTCCCCTGCCAGTATGGTATAGCTGAAAATATCAAGGGATACCTGGGCTTGACAGCATTCATGGTTTCTTCTATATTTGCTCTTTAAGGGACATAGATTAAAAATTGATGGTGTCAGAGGAGTCAGAAAAAAATGAGAGAAAGCTAGGCATGGTAGTGAACACCTGTAATCCCAGTATTTCGGAGGTGAAGCAGGAGGGTCTTGAGTTCTAGGCCAACCTGAGTGACATACTGAGTTCCAAGTAAACCTAAGCTACATGAGGCCTTGTCTCAGAAAACCCAACCAACTAAACAGAAAAATTAATGAGGAGTTGTTACCATGCAGTGTAAGGCTGTACGTATAACGCTGGTGACGAAGTTAGTGGAGAAATAATTTGAACTATTAGTAGTGTCTGCTAAGTGTTTAATGTGAATGTTCTGATATTATAGTATTAGTATACAAGTAAAAGTTATTTAAATATTATTTAAATGTATTATTGAAAGTATTCACAATTATTACTAAAATTGTATTCAGTTAGAAACAACTGTGAGGGCTGGGGAAATGGTGCAGTTGGCAGAGTGCTTGCCTACTGTGTAGAAAGCCCTGGGTTCTATCTCTGGTTCTGCATACACTTGACTATAGCATACATTCCTGTAATTCTGGTACTTAGTAGGTAGAGACAAGAGACTCATCTTACAGTAAATTGGAGGGATAAATCAATGATAGATCCCACACAAGGTGAATTTCTCTGACATCTCCTTTTCCTACCCTTGGAGTCCAGGGTGTTGTGAATGCTATACAAGTGCTGTACCGCTGAGCTCCATTTCTGTCCTCCACACAAGCATGCCTGCCCCTGTCAAGTCATGGATTTGACTTCGTCAGAAAACACTTGTTTAAAAAAGAAGAACATGTTTATACTTACTAATTAGTGCCTAACAAGTTTGAACACATTTACTGGCTTAAAATGTCACATGACTGAGTATGTTGATGGACACCTGTAATCATAGCACCTGGAAGATAGTCAGGTACAACTCAGGACTAACCTGAGCTACATAGCAAGTAGCAAAGGTGGAAGGGGAAAAAAAACTAGTGTTGTGTTACGTAGCATGTATTGAAGGAGAACTTGAGGCATACTGCAGTCCACAGTGTGGTTGCATTTACTATTTGTTTAATTACTATTACAAATGTAATAGTAATTAAACAAGTCTATAGTCTAGCTAAGAGAATACAAAGGAAGTTGTAATGCTTCCCCATAGTGAGGAGAAACAGTCCCCCATAGACATGCTATCACAAACCATATTCATTAATCCTCATATTTAGACACATTCTGAGTGAAGAGTATTGTTGCCACAAAGATTAAATTAGAGCTGGGACTGGTGACTCAGACCTGTAATCCCAGCTGCTGGGAAGAAGGGTAAGAAGATTGAAAATTCAAGGCCATTAAGGGTTATAAAGTGAGTTCAGTGCCAGTCTAGTCAACTTAGTGAGACCTTTTCTCAAAATAAGTGACGAAGAGGGTTGGCTATCTCAGTGGTAGCATATGTGAGGCCTTAGGTTCCATCCCCAATACCAGAAAGGGTAGAGGGGGCAGAACTAGAAGCTGAATGTGGTAGTGGTAAGATTGTGAGTATAAGGTCAATGTGGGCTATATATTGAGGTTCGGTTTCAAAAGGAGAAGAATAAAACAAATTTAATCTCCAGTGTTTGCAGAGAAAAATGGAAAAGAGATTGAATGCTTGGACACAATTATTACAATCCAATAAGAAAGGACTGCTGCTCTTCTCATGTAGCTTAGGCTGGCCTCACACTTATAGCCCAGGCTGGCCTTGAATTCCCTATCCTCCTCCCTCAAATTCCCAATTGTTAGGACTGCAGATGTGTGCCACTACCCTGGGCCTTTACCTTATTTTCCCCTCCCTCGTGGTTGCCTTTTCAGGTATTGTTCCCATATTTCCTTCAGCAAGGATATTGTGCTGGGTTATATATCTGACAGAAAATCCTTCATTCTCTCCTCTTCTCTCTCCTTTTTATAGGTGTTTGTGTGTGTGTGTGTGTGTGTGTGTGTGTGTGTGTGTGTGTGTGTGTGTGTCTCCAAAGACCAGAGGAGTTGAATCTCCCTGGAATTGGAGTTATAAGCAGTTGTGAGCTGCCAACATGGCTGCTGGTAATTGACTCTGATTCTCTGTGAGAGCAGTGCCCGCTCTTAACCACTGAGCCATCTCTGCAGTCCCTTTCTTTTGTTTTATTTTCAGTTGTAACTTTCTGTTAACTTTCTGCATCATGGAAGTATATGAGACTCCAGACTTCCTTTTTGCCTTG